CTGCCGTTCCCCGCGACCCCCGGTCCCCACAACCCTGCTGCCCCGCAAGCCACCCCCACCACCGCTGCACCGGCTCCACAACCCCAGCACCGCGGCCCTCCAACCCGTCCCCGCCCCTGTGCTGGGGCAACCGCGCATCCGCCAAGGGGGGTCTGCGGCCCCAAGAGGACCCCATGTCGGGACATTTTCAGCACCAAACAAAAAATGTCAGGGGCTGCATGGCAGCGGTGCGCACCCCCCATTTTTATTTTTGTTTTTTCCCTATTGGGTTATGTTCCCGGGTGCCAACCCCCGGACCCCCAAGACCCTGCCACCCCGAGAACCCCGACAGGGTCCCGAGGCTGGGGGTCGACAACGTTGTCCCAAAGTGATGAATATTCCGAGGACCATGAAAACAATCATTTCATTTATTCAAGCTACCCGAAAATCATGAAGCATCTTGAAGTGATGAACGTCCCGTAGACCATGAAAGCAACCTTTATGATCATCTGTTAAAACTATCCGAAAATCATGAAGCATACCGAAGTGACGAACGCTCCGAAGACCATGAAAGCAACCTTTATGGTCATTTGTTCAAGCTACCCGAAAATCATGAAGCATTCCAAAGTGATGAACGTACTGAAAATCATAAAAACAACCCTCATGGTCATTTATTCAAACTACTCGAAAATCATGAAGTATCTTGAAGTTATGAACCTCCCGAAGACCATGAAAATAACCCTTATGATCATCTGTTCAAGCGACCCGAAAATCATGAAACATCTGGAAGTGATGAATGTCTCGAAGATTGTGAAAACAACCGCTATGATCATTTGTCCAAGCTATTCGAAAATCATAAAACATTCTGAAGTGATGAACATCCCGAAAATCATAAAAACAACTCTTATAGTCATACGTTCAAGCTACCTAAAAATCATGAAACATCGTGAAGTGATGAATGTCCTGGAGACCACGAAAACAACCCTTATGACCATCTGTTCAAGCTACCTGAAAATCATGAAACTTCAGGATGTTTCATGATTTTCATGTAACTTAAACAAATGAACATAAAAGTCACTTTTATGGTCTTCAGGACGTTCGTCACTTCAGGATGTTTCATGTTTTTCAAGTAGTTTGAATAAATGATCATAAGTGTTGCTTTCATGGTATTCAGGACGTTCATCACTTCTTGATGAATCAAGATGTTCACGTAGCCTATAAGGTAGCTATAAGGGTTGTCTTTATGATTTTCAAGATGTTCATCACTTCATGAAGTTTTCAATACATATGTGTTTAAAGACCGTGTTTGATATAAAAAATTAAAAACTCAATACTCCTCCCGGTTTCATGATTGAGGAACTGTTTTTATGATACACACACCAACATCATTTTTCCCACCTCACAATTTTTATGTGCGAATTTTCATATGTTTGATAACCACTTGTGCTCTCGGGAGGAACCCCCGTATCTTTCTTGCTTGGCTACTAAATTTTCCCCAACCCCTCCCCTGCAGAACTTCCCAACCAATTTACTTAAAATTTTTGAATTAATCTCAAATTTTTTATTTTTATTTTTTAATGAAAATTTGATAGCTTGGTTTTAACATAATTCCATTGAAATCTAATTTCTGTTTGAACGAATTTGACAATTAGATCCGAAATCTCTCCACCTTCTAAAGATACATTTTCATTGACACGGACACACCTTCCATACCAGATGGTCCACACCATAGCCTTTCGACCAATAGCAAAAAAGTTGCTTTGAAATTTCGTTAAGTCTATCCTCATGGGAGTCCAGTGCCCAAACAAGATAACTCTCTCATCCCATGGCCAGTCTAGACCTGTCAATACTTTCCACCAATAATCCCAACGTCTCTACAACAAAACTTTATTTGGGCATTGTAAGAAACTGTGTTCTGTTGTTTCACATATCTTTTTATGTGGAAAAGAAGAAAGACAAAAATTGCACCATGGATTTGTTAAACCTTTTCATTCAAGATTAGAGTGATTTATGAACCAATTTTTTGCCATTAGACATCTATGCAATATCTGTCATTGTAAAGAAGCAAATTTGGTAGGACGTTGCTTGAGATTGGTAAAAAAAATCATATTCTGAATTAATTAATACCTATGTTTAAATGCCTAACTTATCTATTTATAACAATTGCTTCAACATTTATCCTTGGTATCAACAACCTATATGTAACTTGTACTAATATTATTTAACTCCAGATACCCACATATCTTTATGTGACATTCCCCGTGGCATTCCTTTAGGTGGGGAATGTCAAGTGTTTAATAATTTTTGTTTTTTTTTTTTCTGTGAAAAACTCTTTTGCAAGTCCTTTATCCCACTGGTGGTGAGAGAATCGCCAGAATTGAGGGGTTGGTCGTCAGGTCGCTCCATCTATTGATGAATTTTTGCACTTTTCACAAACATGCCCGGATTCAGGTATTCAATCCAATCTTTTTTGCTAATGGGATCCGACCCACACTATCTTCGTTCTATTGTTAGACTGTCGAGACCCACGGTATCTTTCGGTGGGGAGCGCCACGTGTTTAATACTAAGTACTATTTTGTCTGCTTTGGCCTTTCTCTCTCTATCTCTCTATCTATCTATCTATCTATCTCACACACACACACACACACACACACACACACACACACACACATACACACATAAAGCATTTTT